ATGCTAATGAACCCCCTCCTCCCTCCTCCTCCTCCCTCCCGTGCCCCCCTCTCTCTCTCTCTCCATCCCTTATCCTCCTCTCCTCCCTCCCTCACTCTCCTCTCCCTCTCCCCTCTCCCTCTCCACTCTCCTCCTCTCCCTCCTCCTCCCCTCTCTCCCATCCCTTACTTCCCTCACTCCTCTCTCTCCCTCTCCCTCTCCTCTCCCTCTCTCTCCTCTCTCTCTCTCTCTCTCCATCCCTTACTCCTCACTCCTCTCCCTCTCCCTTCTCCCTCTCCTCCCTCTCCTCTCCCTCTCTCTCCTCATCCCTTACTCCCCTCACTCTCTCCCCTCTCCTCTCCCCTTCCTCTCTCCTCTCCCTCTCCCTCTCCCTCCCCCTCCTCTCGTCCTCCCTCCCCTCTCCTACCTCCCTCCCTCCTGCTGGGGTCGAGGCTTGTCGTCATCGTCGTCATTTTCGTCGCTTTGTCGCTTTCTCATAAACCTTTATTTTTTTCGCATTTATCCTCTTTCTTTTATTTACATACTGTTATCATTATCATTACTATCATTATCATCATTATTATTATTATCAATTATATTATCATCTTCATCATTATCCACTACCCACCACACACATCACATCACACACCAGCCATTACTTTCTCCTCTCTTCCTCTCCCTCCTCCTCCTCGTCTTCTTCCTCTTCTCTCTCTCCGTCCCTCCCTATCTCTTTATCATCATCACCATCACTTCCTTCCACCCCTCATTTTCCCTTCCTCTTCCTCCCCAAGTACGACTTCTCGAGAAGAACTAGGGGGGGGGAGAGGAGGAGGAGAGGGAGAAGGGAGAGGGAGAGGGGAGGAGAGGGAGGGGGAGAGGGAGGGGAGAGGGAGGGAGAGGGAAGGGAGAGGGAGAGAGAGGGAGAGGGAGAGGGAGAGAGAGAGAGAGAGAGAGAGAGAGAGAGAGAGAGAGAGAGAAGAGAGAGAGAGAGAGAGAGAGAGAGAGAGAGAGAGAGGAGAGAGCGAAGAGAGAGAGAGAGAGAGAGAGAGAGAGAGAGAGAGAGAGAGAGAGAGAAGAGAGAGAGAGAGAGAGAGAGAGAGAGAGACAGAGACCAGAAGACAGAGACAGAGACAGAGACAGAGACAGAGACAGAGACAGAGAAGAGACAGAGACAGAGCAGAGACAGGACAGAGACAGACAAAGACAGAGAGACAGAGAGACAGAGACAGAGACAGAGACAGAGACAGAGAGAGACAGGAGACAGAGAGACAGAGACAGAGAGACAGAGACAGAGACAGAGACAAGAGAGAGAGAGACAGAGACAGAGACAGAGATAGAGAGAGATAGAGACAGAGAACAGAGACAGACAGAGAGACAGAGACAGAGACAGACAGACAGACAGACAGACAACAGAGAGACAGACAGACAGACAGACAGACAGAGGGAGAGAGAGAGAGAGGTCGTGACAACGCGTCGAGAGAACTACTTAACTTGCAGCTGAACGGTAAACACGACTTTTACGTATGAAAACGCGTATTTGCGTATCAGAAACACGTATTGCGTATCAGAAACAGGCGTCCATCAGTCGGTTTGTCAGAACTGTGCCGACCTAATTGACATTCGTAACACGGACAGGCACATACACAGAAATAAATGCACATCTATCATTCTACACATGTATATCTACCGTACAGATAGAAAAATAAAGGTATATTCATTTGATAGATCGATAGAAATGCATTGATTTCCGTGCGTGTGGATGTATATTTATACGAATATTCATTGGGTCGGGCAGTATATGTCCAAAAAAGGGGGAAAAAAATACGTACCAAGAACACGTACGTACATAAAAACAAACACCACATCCCTGTGCACCAAGAACACGCGCCTTCACGTTACAAATACTCACATATCTCAAACTCAGGTATTTACATATACTTTATACATCAAAAACAATGACTTATGTAGCAAAAGCACGGAAACTATTGAAATCCTTTACAGAGAAATATTTGACCGGTTTCGAACACATCTTCGACAGGAATGCATGTATTTCGAACACACTAAGGCATCAAAACGCATATTTACAACCCAGAAAAAACAACGTATTACTGCAACAAGAACATCCACGCACATTTATGCATAAACGTAAACATATTAATATACATGCATGAAGCTATACACAACATACACCTACAACAATATAAACCACATAAATAAACAGAAGATAAACAACATAAATCTTACAACATAAACCACATAAATACATGAAAGGCAAATCAACACACACCTACAACAATATAAACCACATAAATAAACAAAAAAACAACACACATCTTACAACATAAACCACATAAATACATGAAAGACAAAACAACATACACCTACAATAACATAAACCCACATAAATACATACAACACGAACACCAAACACTTACAACATCCAAACCACATCCACACCCCAGACAAACAACCCCCCACACCCCCACCCACCCACCCCACCCCGCTTTGTGAACATAATAAG